AGAGAGAGAGAGAGAGAGAGAGAGAGAGAGAGAGAGAGAGAGAGAGAGAGAGAGAGAGAGAGAGAGAGAGAGAGAGACATGAGCGATCCGAGATTGGTATTCACTTATCTGTAGGGCGAAACGGCGGAGTCCGGTGGTGAAGGAAGACGGCGGCCATAGCCGCGGAGCATTGACACAGAGTACCGGAGGAGAGAGAAAGGGAGAACAGAGAAGGAGGGACTAAGGAGAGGAAAGAAGAAGAGTGGAAGGAGGAGATTGAAGAAGAGGACAGACATAGCCGGGGGAGAGCAGAAAAAAAATAAATAAAAAATAATGCGAAAGTGAAGAGAAAGAAAGTGAAGGACGAGGAAGTGGACGGCGAGGGTGACGAAAGTGAAGGTGCCGGCAGCCATAGCCGAGGTGAGGAGTTGACCGGGCGTTGACCAGAGCGTTGACCAGAGTGTTGACCAAGGGTTGACCAGGCGTTGACCGAGGGTGTTGACCAAGCATTGATTGGGGGTTGACCGCGTCGACTCGACGTTGACCAAAGCGTTGACCGGAGTTTTTGCTGACCAAGATTTTGACCAAGCTGGAGTTGGTGATACCTCGTTGACCCCTCAGCCTATTCCCTTACCCTGTGGATGTGCACACCCCTACGGTACTTGCTGAATTGAGTCTGTCTGTCTTCCTTTCTGCATCGAGTCTCTTATGTCCTAGGTGTTAGGACTCTGTGGATGAAGGATAGGGCCTTGCTGCCAAACCTGCACGAGACTTAGTAGGACCTAAGCTCTACTCTGGCACTTGGAGACCTGGGCATGAGCGGCGAGCGCTCGTTAAACAACTCGTCTCTGACCGGTACTGTTCGGGTAGGTCTACGTGGTGAGGAGTGGGACCCCTGTCGTGCACCAACACCACGATGGATGACTATCCGATGTATGGGCTACTTGTTGGGTTCTCCCTCTGGGGGACCCTCTGGCGTCTCCTCTTCCCTCTGGGCTTCTCGCCCACTGTTGCGTGTAGGGTAGGGCCCACTCGGGGTGGTACTTCCACCAACCCTTACACGAAGGAGGAGGAGGAGGAGATGGCCGCCATTTTGCAGGAGAAGAAGGAGAAGAAGGAGGCCAAGAAGAAGGCCTTGAAGGAGGAGCAGGCGGCCAAATTGAAGAAGATAGAAGAAGAGATGGCCAGGGAAAAGGAGAGRATAAAGAAGGAAGAGGAAGAGAAGTTGAAAGAGGTAGAAGAGGAGGAGGAAGATGAAACACCATTGCAGAGGAAGAGGGTGCAGTACAGTGGTAGTAGGGATGAAGAGATGGAGAAGCGAATCTCCGAGTGGGTAGCCAACTTGTCCCTGGGCGAAGAAGAAGAGGTGGCGATGTACATCTCCAAGGATAACCAAGAAGCCGCTATGAGGGCCTGGGAAGCAGAAAAGGATGTTGTGAAGCGGCAGGCATTGGAAGACGAAAAGAGGATGGAGTGGAAGTTGGCAGTGATGAGGGAGGAGAAGAGGAGAGTGGACGCGGCAGCGGAGGCGGCAGAAGAATTAGAGGAAGTAAAGAATATAGAAGAGCAACTGGCCGCCCAGACCGAACTCCCAGCTCAARTGCGAGTCATAGCCYGAAAYGTTGCACGCCTGGCACGAATTCAGGCRGAGCAATATGATTTTAGTAGGAGTCMACACATAGYTGTRCGTTYCATAAAGTTGGGGTTTCGGGACTTTGCGYGTGAGCTGGTAGGCGCTATAGGGACCGAGGTGGGCCACCGCCTCGACAAGACTGAGCGGTTCTGTGTCGGCGCCATTGAGGGCGTCAAAGCGGCAGCTCCCAAGGAGGAGGAAGCACGTCCTCCTCGTCGGGAACGGGTCAAAGTTAAATTCCCTGATTCCTACAGTGGAAAAAGGGAAGAGAACTTCGACAATTGGGAGGCCAATGTCAAGACCTATGTGCATCTGCAACAGGTCTCCCCGGATCGGCAGGTTCTGATTGCGATTCACGCGCTCAGAGATGAAGCCGCCAGCTTTGCAAGGTCCCTAGTTCGCGCTGCCAATTGCAGCGATGATCCTGTTGCGTACTCCTCGTTCAGTTCCCTCACTGAGTTCTTGAAGCTGTTGCGCGAGAGGTTCGCTGATGTCGCCCGTAGCGTTAAAGCCTCAGACAGGCTGCAGATGATCCAGGCTCGTAAGTGGAAGAGCGCCAGGGCACTTAAGAGTACAATGGACGAACTGGTAGTTGTCCTTGACCACGGGGTTACAGACACCCAGTTGGTTGGCCTCTTTTATCAGGCTATACCCGAAGCCCTYCGAGGGCATTTCTTCGCAAAGAGCGAAGACCCTGCCACTACATACGATTCCCTTAGTCGTGAAGTAGTGGCTTTTGAAGCCAAGTCTGCGTCTATGTCCACTTTCTGGCACAAGGACTTGGACAAGGGTAAGCAATGGAAGGGCCGCACTATCTCAGGRCAAGTAAAGACCAAGGACAGCCTTGTCCTGACCTTAGATGAGGGTAGTGTGGATGAGATCCCCTACGATCAGATTGAGTGGGGGTTAGAGGAGGATGACAGCGGTGTGGGCCAGGGGAGATCTTACGCTGCTGTCGCGCTGGAGGGAGGCTGCAAGGAGGAAGAGGCCAAGGCCAAGGGGGACGGGCCTCAGGGAGCCGATTTCAGGGCGATCAGGGGGTTGGCGTCAAAGGAGGAAACCGCCAAGTGGGAGTCAGGGGTCAAGGTCCCCCGCAAAACCGTCCTAGGAATAGGTCTCCCTATAGAGTAGGAGGATGGCACCCGGGGCTACCGCAGGGTAGGCCTTGGGAATCTCTGGGTCTGGACCAGGCTTTATGGCAACAATGATTGGACCGGGGCCAGTGCATTTTCTGCGGTGACCCGGGCCATATCATCAAATACTATCCCAAGTATCGCGAGACCCGAACGGCTGCCCAAGGGCCAAAAGGCAGCCGCCATTAGGGGTAGCAACTGCCCCTACCACTAGGCCATGTGGGGAATATAGCGCTATCCGACAGGAGACTCTCACACCACATGTGCCTATGGCAGAGGTTGCAGGCCGGTGTCTAGATGGCTGTCCAGAGACTGCTTGTGTTAGAGTCTCTCTAGACACCTCCCTCACAGGCGTGGCCGAAGAGTTGAAGGAGAGGATGCCAGCCTGGGCCAAGATGAAGAAAGAACAGAAAGGGCAGCTAATTCTGGTAGATGTAGAGATTTTTAGAGGTAGGGTAGCGGCCCTAGTAGATTCAGGGGCTACCCGCAGCTATATTAGTAGAAAAGCGCTGCAGAAGTTGAAGCTGGGACTTAAGGTCCAAAAGCTAGCAGACCCTATAGTTAGTATCCTCGCAGACAACCGTATGATGGTTGTRGAGGAKTATGTAGAGGGAGTCCAGGCGTATTTKCGCCTAGAGAARGATGGGAAAGTGGAAARGGTCCTCCACTCCCTRACTCTCCTCGTAGAAGACAGCCTCCCATTYGAYATTGTYCTGGGAATGGATTGGGGAGAGGCAGYCGGRGCCACGCTCCATTTGAAGGARCACGAGTGTAGGCTCCCTAGTTTGTCAGGCGAGGCTAAAACTACCCGCCTGTTTCATGCGTCAGGGGTAGAGAATTCCTTGGCGCACTGCTGCCTTAGTGCCCCCGCGTTCGCCAGATTAGTGAAAAAGGAGAAACTAGAGGAACAGGTTTTTGTTGCCTATGTTAGGCCAGTGATTGAGTCTACGGAAGAAAAGCCTGTGGACCCTGCGATTGCCAAGCTGTTGGAAGAGTTCAAGGATGTAACCGAGCCGCCGATAGGAGTAGTACCACGGCCCATCCAGCACCGCATTGAGATAGAGCCTGGCAGTAGAACTCCTAAGTGCGCTGTCTCCTTGATGTCCTTACGGGAGTTAGAGGAGCTTCGCAAGCAATTAGACGAGCTCCTCGAGAAGGGTTGGATTAGGCCTAGTTCGTCTCCTTTCGGAGCGCCGGTTCTCTTTGTTCCTAAGAAAGAGAGAGAGTTGAGAATGTGCATAGACTATAGGGGTCTGAATGCTATTACAGTAAAGAATGCTGAGCCACTGCCTAGAATAGACGATCTCTTAGATCGAGTGCAGGGGGCGAAGTATTTTTCTAAGATAGATTTGAAGTCCGGATATCATCAGATAGAGGTGCATCCTGATGATCAGTATAAGACAGCCTTCCGGACTAGGTATGGGCATTACAAGTTCATAGTGATGCCCTTTGGACTAACCAATGCGCCAGCTACATTCCAGCGCTGTATGAACGATTTGTTTAGGCCGTGGCTAGACAGATTTGTTGTAGTTTATCTAGATGACATTCTAGTGTTTAGTAAGACCCTCGAAGAGCATCAGGGTCATCTCAGGCAGGTCTTGGAGAAGTTGAGGGAAGCTAACTTCAAGATCAATGCGAAGAAGTGCGATTGGGCGAAGACCCAAGTTTTGTATCTAGGCCACGTCTTAGATGGAGATGGCGTTAAGCCAGAGGATAGCAAGATCGCAGCGATTAGAGATTGGCCCACGCCACGTACGCTGACAGAGTTGCGCTCGTTCCTGGGCTTAGCGAATTACTACAGGAAGTTCGTGAGGAACTTCTCCACCATCGCTGCGCCCCTTCGCAGATTGCTGAGAAAGGAGACAATCTGGAAGTGGGACAAGGACTGCACGTCTGCMATGAAGAAGCTAAAACAGGCATTGATAGAGTATCCAGTCCTTRAAGTCGCCGATCCAYCCCTRCCTTTTGTCGTCACGRCCGATGCGAGTCAATACGGCATAGGYGCGGTGTTACARCAAGACGATGGCAATGGGTATAGACCCGTAGAGTTCATGTCTGCTAGGATGCCTTCAGAGAAGGTCGCGACATCCACTTATGAGAGGGAACTCTACGCTCTCAGGCAAGCATTAGACCACTGGAAGCATTACTTGCTTGGGAGGCACTTCAAAGTCTATTATGACCATGAAACGTTACGATGGTTAAAGACGCAGGCCAAGATGACACCTAAGCTTACTAGGTGGGCCGCAGAGATAGATCAGTACGACTTTGAGCTCAAGCTTGTCAAAGGGAAGTATAATGTAGTTGCGGACGCTCTGAGTAGAAGAGCTGATTACTTCGGGGCAATAGTGCACTACCTCGATATAGGGAAAAATCTGCAGCAGAAGGTTAGAGAAGCATACGCGCAGGACTCTATCTATAGTGAGCTCCTTAGGAAAGTCAAGGAAGCCCCGAAGACTGAGCCGAATTATCGCACTACTGAAGGGTTGCTTTTTGAGAAGACTAATGTGTTTGACCGCCTATGCATCCCCAATAGCGAAGAGATTCGTAGTCTGATTTTGGGTGAATGCCACGACACAGAGGGTCATTTTGGTTGGCAAAAGACTTTAGCCAATCTAACGCGCGCGTATACCTGGCCAGGGATGAAGAGTGACTGCGTAGAGTATGTTCGCAGTTGTAAGATTTGCCAGCGTAACAAGAGTTCTACGCGCGCCCCGCTAGGTCTTCTCAGACCCTTGCCCATCCCGGACCAGCCGGGGGACTCGGTGTCCATCGACTTCATGGACACTCAAGTCAAGGGCAGGCATGGCAAGAGCCAAGTCATGGTTATAGTTGACCGATTTAGTAAATACGCAATTTTTGTTCCTTTGCCTTCGGAGGCACGTACCGATTTAGTCATACAGAGATTCTTTGACGGTTGGGTTAGTGAGAATGGAATCCCGCTGTCGATAGTTAGCGATAGAGATAGTCGCTTCACCAGCCAGAACTGGCAAGAACTCATGGGAGTATATGGRTCYAAGTTGTTGATGTCGTCCGGCCGTCATCCAGAGACTAACGGTCAGACAGAGCAAATGAACAAGATCCTGCAGCAAGTTCTGCGCATGTATATTAGACCAGATCAGATTAACTGGGATGAGATGTTGCCCAAAGTAGCTAGTGCGTACAATAATAGTGTGCATTTGTCTACATGCCGCACTCCCAACGAACTGCACAAGTCCTTTAGACCGCGCCGACCGTTTGAGGGACTCAACCGGGATCAGATTCAGAGATTGCTGCCCGGGACCAGGGAGTTTGCTGTGCAGCACGAGAAAGAACTAGCTACTGTTGTAGAGAACCTCAAGAAAGCCCAGCATAGAATGATAGAGCAAGCGAACAAACATCGTCGCCCTTCACAGTTTAAAGTAGGCGACTTAGTCYGRGTCARTTCTAAAGAGTTTGCGCCTGAGGAGAACATCTCGCAGAAGTTACTGCCCACATATAGAGGACCGTGGCCTGTTCTGGAAGTCAAGGGCGGCGAAGATGGACCGTCCTACACCATAGAGTTACCAGCACACCTCCAAACTTACCCAGTTTTCCATTCATCGAAGTTACTACCGTGTCAAACAAGTGATCAGTTTCCATCCCGTAGATCGATGATCCCACCAGATATGGATGGAAGATATGACATAGATGGTATAGTGGCTGAAGATGTCTTCAGAACTGGAGGTAGGGGTCGTCCGCAGAAACAGGATAAGGTTCATTTTAGTTATCAGGAACCGGAAGACGACCGCTGGTTTACAAGATCGGAACTTCTAGAGACAGCTCCCGATATAGTCCGGGCCTACGAGAGACAGCAGAAGGGTAAAGGTCCTGCCTTGGACTGAAATTTTCTCGGAGGACCTCGAATTTAGGCCGGCGGGAGTGAAACGGTATTCACCAGTTCGCAGT